ATGTGTGGTATAGTATCACCATTTTACAGGTAAGCAAATCCAGGTTCCAAGCACTTCAATGATTTGCCCAGGGTCTCACAGTTCTAAATATAGAAAACAGGATTCTAGCCTTAGGTCTCCTGCCTTTAAGCCTATGCTTTTTCCTACCACCCAGTTCTAATAAAACATATCCTTGATTCTCTCAGGTCAGAATGAATTAATAATAATAATATAACCACAATAAAGACAAATGCCCCAGTTATGAGAAGAAATGCTCTTTGTAAAAATGCCATGTAAAACTTGAGCCTCCAGATATATGTCACAACCTTTTTGAGCAGTGATATGTAGATATTTGATGTATGTGACTTTACTTCACCCATTAGAATCAACTTCCAAAAAGTATTTCTTTTGGTTTTGTCTTAAGGCAGCAATTTCCTTTGACCTGGGAGCAAAACAGCTGGAAAGGAGTCTGTTTTGTTGTGATTATTTGTCTTTGGGGGAATAGGAGAAGGGCAACACAACTTTGACCTTTACATAGACTTCACAAAGGAACTTAGTCTGCAAGAGTTTCTTGTGAAACACACTCTGGAGGACTAAGAGTGCCGGGGAACAGATGAGAAATATTTATTAATGCTGTAGGTGCCATAGTTTATTTTTGATGTGAGTATGGGAAGGACCTTGTAGATTCTCAAATATTCAGTGTCTGTTCCATAGACCTGAGAGTATCTCAGATAACTTTAAGGACCCAAATGGGAAGAAAGAGAAGGTCATTGTTGAGTTTTCTTGAATGGACCTAGAAAGAGGAAAAACCCAGGGTGGATATTTTTTTAAGTGAATAGAAAAGAGAAAGATCTGGATTATTCAACTTTAAGGCAGGATGCTGTTGTAGGCCCACTAGGAACCAAAGCTGTCATGTTCAGAATCTGCTCCCTCCTTATAGATTTCCACCTTATAGATTCCCAAATTCCTTCAAGGCTTAGTTCAGATGATGCCTCATATGCAAAGCCTGCTCCAAGTACCTCTAGCTGTTGGTGTAAACCACCTCATAAATTACTTTGTATTTATTGATATGTATGCATTCTGTAGCCCCCAGGAGAATATGAACTGTGGGCTCCTTAAGGGTGGTTTTAATCTTCTTTTCAGTTTGTTTTTATCCTTGTTTTTTAGTTTGTTTTTATTTTGGTAGCCTGTGGTATGGGTCTAGCAAATAAGTGGTGCTTAGTAAGTGTTGGTTGAATTGAAGTGGTTTCTTATTTTGTTTCATTGTATTGTAGTCCACAAACACCCTTACTGTGTTACTTTTGTCTGACCTTGTTTTGTTAGATGTTCACAAACCATACTGTGCCACCTGTAAATAACTTACGACGGACAAAGAGAAACTCTTAACTTCTGAGCCCATGATCGGGGAGAAGCATCATTTTGGTAATAATTATATAGTGCTGTAAGGATTTGAAAGTGTTTTATATATAATATCTCATTTGATTGTTACTAGAATCTTGGGAGATTAGAAGCTATTATTATCCCCATTTTTCAGATAAAGAAACTGAGACTGAGAAAGGCTAAAATACTTGTCTAGGATTACACAGCTAATGTCTGAAGGAAGATTTGAACATGTCTTCCTGACTATACCACCTAGCCACTGAAAGGGGGCTCCCTGAACCATAGAGGCTGAGAACCACACAAGTACAGGTGAACTTTCAGCCTCACTGCCCAGACATTCCTATTCCACTGGCATCTTTTACAGATTCCAAGTCAAAAGGAGTGTGGGTTGGATAAGCTTAACATGCAGCAGCTATATAAACAAACTATCCTGCTTCCTATCACTGCCCTTTTATAATTTATAATTATCAGCAACATCTCATTCCTTATTTTAAAAGCACAAAGTCTCACTTCCAGAAGCACCTGGATCTATTTGGGTACACAGGCAAGGGATTAGCCTATCCTGGCCTTTTGTAAAGGAATCATTTTCCTCTGCTGGGTCTTAGATCTCAGCATATTAGTTTCTTATCCAGGCCATCCTTTCCTTAGTGGTAAATGGCAAAATACCCAGAATAAAGGATAACCACGGGAAGCTTCTTGCTCCCTGTCTGAATTCACCATGGCTGCCTTGGAACAATCAGTCCTCATTCTCCACCCATTCACGTGGACCTCTGGCCGTTATGCACTTTGGGGCAACTGTATGATGCGAATGTACAGGACCAAGACAATAGGCATACGCTTTTGAGTGACCCGCATCTTAAGTCTCAGTGTTCCTGACCTACAGGACTCATCTAAAACAGCTGAATTACAAAAGAGGAAGAATTCTACAAGGAGTGACCAGCTTTTGAAAAGTGCATAGATGTCAGAGTATTTTGATGTCCAAAAGGGACTCAGTCTCAAAACCTATGGAGGGAAGCTTTAAAAATAGATCTTAAGTCATAAGTGCATTTCTAATCAAATTCTTTTTCCTTCCTTCCTTCCTTCCTTTCTTTCTTTCTTTCTTTCTTTCTTTCTTTCTTTCTTTCTTTCTTTCTTTCTTTCTTTCTTTCTTTCTTTCTTTCTTTCTTTCTTTCTTTCTTTCTTCCTTCCTTCCTTCCTTCCTTCCTTCCTTCCTTCCTTCCTTCCTTCCTTCCTTTCTTTCTTTCTTTCTTTCTTTCTTTTTCTTTCCTTCTTCCTTCCTTCCTTCCTTCCTTCCTTCCTTCCTTCCTTCCTTCCTTCCTTCCTTCCTTCCTTCCTTCCTTCCTTCCTTCCTTCCTTCCTTCCTTCCTTCCTTCCTTCCTTCCTTCCTTCCTTCTCTGTGTCTATCTCTGTATCTCTATCTTTGTCTCCCTCTGTATCTCTCTGTCTCTGTCTCTCTCTCTCTCACACACACACACACACACACACACACACACACATATACATATATATGTATATGTATATATATGTATATGTGTGTGTGTGTGTGTGTGTGTGTGTGTGTGTGTATGTTAGGTAGGGGTCAATCAGAGATCTAACTGTGGAAAGAAGAATGCTTGTTTTCCTTAGAGTAATTGATTGCTTGTCCAGAAGCACATGGCTCAGAATTCATACTTAACATTTAGAGAGTTAAACTATTTTCCAAGCTAAATCATCAAGTTGGGATGAGGTACTTACTTGACTACTTCTTCTCTGGAAAAGGTCAGGTCATAGACCATCCAGAGACACCAGATATACAAGGCATGATACCAACAATAATTTGTTCCTGCAAAAGTGACATTTTTGCCATTTGGTCCAACATTGTTCAGAAGCAAAATGCAGTCCTCCAGGGTGCCAGCAGTGTTGATCTGCAAGATGACAAACCAACAATATCATCTAAATAAAAAAATCCAGCATGGTTTTATTAAATTAATCCTGACAAGAATAAATTGAATAATCTTGGGGAAAAGGCAAGAGTGCTGACTGGGCCAGATGGCTTTGTGTGTTGCTGGCCTGGTCTTCAATGGCGGATAAAAAACCAGCTCTTGATTTATTTAGTTAGTTAGTTAGTTGATTAACACCTGCCACTTTAGCAGACTGAATCTAAATCTGATCCAGGTTACTCTTGAAAAATCCATCTGATTTCCAGCAGAGGAGTGAAAGGAAATGTAGGCATCCCAGAGTGAGAGTGATGCAACAAAGACCTGAGAAGAGGTTGTCACCTTGTCTCTAGAATAGCAACTTTCATCTCAGAGAAATCTGTGTTATTTTCATCACTCCCATAACGTGTTAATCTACCATTACTCACTCTCCTCGGCAGACATATTTGAGGGGAGCTTTCCTTAGGAAAAGCCTAGAGTGCATTATTTGAGCCTTTATTTCTCTGAGGCTACCATTTTACATCCCTCTGGTGTTTTCAAGTATGCTCTGATTCGAGGAGGGGAGGCACATTAAGAAAATTTTCTCCCTGGATCCTTGGGGACAAAATTGACAAGGAAACAAGTGGGATACGTGGCCTAAATGATCTATATTGGAGATCTATACTCATCACCTCACCTGATAAGTCGTCCCCTTTTCTTTCATTTAATGAAACTGAGTGTTTAGTGTTCATTATGCTATTTCCTTTTGAGGGAAGATCATTTAGAAATGGAAGTTCTTTGTTTGGTCTTTTCAAAATTGACTACTAGAACACAGCTTGTCTATATATACTAACCTTTGCTTCTGGTACAGTTTTAAGGAGGAATCCAGCACAGCATCTTATTTTTATAAAGCATTAATGAGGGTTTGCTCCCCTCCAACCCTTTTTTGGTCTACACTTGTGATTTCACTAATGTAGGAATTGAAGCTTCTTCCTTGAATCTTCAAGAGTTGCCTGGGGGTCATTGAGAGATCAGCTGCTTTGCCCAAAATTACCCAGCCTGTTTGTGCCAAAAGGACTTGAACCCAGATCTTTCTGACTCTTTCTGTCCACTACACCATACTGCTTCTCATTTACAACATGGTAGCTTTAGGTGCATATGTACTAGACAGCCAGTAACTTGGATCAACATCTTAATGACTACTCCAGAGAACCAATGAAACTTGAAGAAAGGGAATAAATGCATTTACTTTCTTGGTTTGAATGTTAAACATGGAATGAAAATTTTGAATCATAGGTATAGGTTTGTGGATGTATGCTGTGGGGGTGTGTAGTTAAATGGATCCCTATAGAAAAGTGTCTGGGGTTAAATTGGGGAAGACACTGCCTCTCTTTAGTGACGGTATCTCCATACATGAAAGTCAACTTCAGGGTGGCATTTTATTTTATGAGCTGATTCCAGCATATCTCTGTGGTCTCTGAGCCATAGCTTTTGACTTCATCCCACATGTTTCTAATCAGGCTTACATAAGCCCTTGGTAAGTCGACTATGCAAACATGAAGTTATATGCTACGCCAATGCACAATAAAGGGTAATGGTTCAAGAAACAACTCTTGGATATTTGATGCCTTTTAAAAATTTACAGTTCAAAAACACTGCTGCCTGTCCTCTGACTATAAATGACCAGTGTATTTCTTTCTCTCTTCCCACCCATTCTTCTCCCTCCTCTTCCCCACCTGCTTCTAGGATATTAAAACAGATTGCAATTCCTGTGTGGAAGTAGAAGACAGAAAAGTAAGTCAATATCTTTTAATCATTTTTAAACATTCTGTATGATATCAATGTACATGCTTAAGGAAAGAATTGCTAGAAAAAATGATTGGGTCGGTGAGTCATGTTTTGATTAGACAAATTCAAGGCAGTCCTATTCAAAAGGTTAAATCTGTTTTTCTAAAACATAGTTGATATGAGAGATCTTGAGTGAAAACCACTTAGAGGAATTAGGTATGGAAAGTATTAAACATGTTTATTTTGTTGTAAGTTTTTGCTCTAGACAGCTTTTAAAGGTGACTCTTTAATATTCTAACTTAATTTGCTTTTATCCGTATGATGATACTGATAATTTGCTGAGTGTGTACCATTCAGCATTCTACTGGCATTCTATCCTTATGCCTGATTCCTGCCCTTTGGTATTTATTGTCCTAGAAGGTCCAAGATACCTCACAAAGTCACCAACCACATCACAGACAGCCAACACCTGCAATAGCCAGGTAATCATCCCTAGGGTTCTATTCCCTGGCTTTCTGTTTTTATTTTCCATCTTTTATCTTTGGAGACCATAGTGTGAACACCATGAGGAAAAAGCAATTGTTAGACAACTATGTATTACTTTGATTCTTTTGTGGCTTTTCTTATTGGCAAATTTTCCTGTGGAAGTCACTTCCATATCTCAGGTTTTATTTTGATGGCAAGGATACACACAAAAAAAGGTGAAGAACCCCTACTGTAGGGCTATAAGAAATCACTGGTTTGGATGATTACCCTTTCAAGAAGGGCCTATAACCATTTCTGTTGTTACAACCCAAAAAGGTTTTACCTCCACATCTCTACTCAAACCTGTCCTGATGTCACTACTCATCCTTCCACTTCCTAGTTTAGAGCTCCCATCATTTTTCATCTGTACTACTGCAGTAGGCTTCTAGTTGGTCAGCCACCTTTGATATCTCACTTCTCCAGTGTATCTTTTCAAATAACTGTAAAATAATTTTCCTAATACATAGTTTTGATTTTCCCTAATGAAAATCCTTCAGCAACTCTACATCACTTATAGAATAAAATGCAAGCTCATTACCCCAGCAGTTCAAGCCCTCCCCTATCTGATACCACTCCACCTTTCCAGGCAGATTTCACATTCCACCCCCTCTCCTTTTATGCATGCTATGTCCTAGGCAAAGTGAACCAAGCAAGCCATTTTCTGAACCACTTGTGCATCTCTTTTCCCCTGTTCATTTTCATAGACCATAGTCCTCCCCATTATTGGAACACACTCTGTCCTCATCTCTGCCTTTGAGATTCCTTCTCTTCTTTCAATGTTCAGCCACAATAGCACTTTTGTGGAAAGCCTTCCTGGATTCTTTTCTCTACTCTACCTGAAACTGATCTCTCAATCCTCAAATTTCCCTAAGAATATTTTGTGTCTCACCCTTGCTCCCTCTATGCCCTACCTTGAATTATGCTTATTTGTGTAGACATCTTATCCCACTTATTAGAATATAAATAGTGTGAGGGCAGGGCTAATCATTTTTCATCATTTTATCACGGGTACTTGTCACTGTGTTTTGCAGGTTGGTGCCCTTGATAAATGTCTGTCAATCTACTCTGAGTTGTTTCCAGTAATCGTACCTCAGCCTGCCATGCTCCATGCCCTCTTAGACACCAAATATGCCACTCAGGGCCTAGAGCTTCTCCCCAACTAGTGCTTCTAGTAGTATTCAACTTGGTTCTTTGATTCATGCAGATAAAAAATAATAATAATTAAGACTTGAATTGACCTGCTCCTGCCTAGAAGATTTTATTTTAGAAAAGTGATGTCACTAAAAAGAAAGGACAAATATATATTTATTATATGCTCCTTATAAAAATAAAAAATGAAAAGGCAGTTAACATCATTGATTACTGTATCCTAGTTTATCTGTAATGAATATAAACATCTAAGCCTATTGTCTATTTCTTAAAAGAGTAGGTAGGAAGATGAATAAGTAATGAATTTTCAAATTGGGCTTAGGGGAGATGCATTTATAGCTGAATTGCATGTAGGAGGAGTTTAATGTGAAAGACAAAAAGAGGAGCTTCTCCCTAACAGTCTAAACATATTATTTCAATGAGTGTGTGTGTGTGTGTGTGTGTGTGTGTGTGTGTCTGAGATTTCATTGGCTAGGAACCTGCTAATATAGAAATTCCTTTATTAGTAAAGATGAGTAACTCATCTGTAACTTAAATTCATAATTGCCTGGGGCACTGAGAGTTTAAGTGACTTTCATGGGGTCCCACAGCTGCTGTGTAGCAGCAGAAGTATTTGAACCTAAGTCTTTTTACTTGAAGCTACTTTTTACTAGGCCTCTTTCCACTATGCCATGCTGACTCCTTTATTTGGGGAAAAACAATAACTACCTAACATACATAACAATAAATTAGATACTATTGTGTAATCTCATAGAAGGGCCTAAAAAAACCTAAGTTCAAATCCTGCACCTGATACATACTAACTTTGTGACCCTGAGGAAGTCATTTGCTCTCACAATGGCACAGATAACTTTTTTAAGACTATTAGTTTCAGAGAAAACACCAGTCTGCCTTGGGAGAAAGAGTCTTAACATAGGGAGCTCCCTACATTAGTGAAGTCACAGGTCCATTCCAAAAAAGTTAAGATTATGTCATACTTCTTGCTGTTAAATTTTCTTCAGTCTCACTCTCTGATACTAGAGTTGATTGGAAGATCATACATTTATTAGAAAGCTTTCCTTCTTTTCTATATTAATTTCCCTTCTGATAAACAAAGTGCTTTAGATTTGAACAGAGGCCAGCCTACTTATTATAACATGCTTTCAATGTGGTCCACATTGGGGAAAACCACCATTTTAAAAGAAAAGGTGAAATGCAAATGACTATGATATTTTCTGCAACATAGACTATTCCCATTGATAATAGATGCACATGACCAGGTTCTTGAAAGTCAAGGCAAAAAGCACCTACTAGTGGAAGACACTGTTCTAATCTCTGGGAGTACAAAGAAAGGCAAAAATAGTTCCTGCTTTCAAAGAACTCACAATCTAATTGGGGAGACAACATCCAAACAACTACTTACCAACAAGATATATACAGAATAAAGTGGAAATAATTTCATGGCAGAAGGCACAGGCATTACTGGGGATCAGGAAAGGCTTCTTGCAGAAAGAGGGATTTTAACTGAGCTTTGAAGGCATTCAGGAGGCAGAGGGGAGGCTCATCCTAGACAAGGGTGACAACTAGTGAAAATTCCTAGAGTCGGCAGATGGATTATCTTGTGCAAGGAGGCCAGTTGTTGATAGTAGGGTACATGGAAAGGGGTGAGATGTAAGAAGCCTGGAAAGATGGGAAGGGCCAGGTTATAAGATCATCAAATCCATCCTCTTATTTTATCAGTGGTGAGAGGACATCCCAGAGAGGTGAAGTACTTGCTTAAAGCTACATAGCCAGTTAATGGCAGAGCTGAGGCTCACACCCTGGTCTCCTGACTCCTGGTCCAGTGCACTTTCAGTGACATTTCAGTTCAACTCAACAAGTTAAGCACTTACCATGTGCCACACACCATGCCCAACCCTGGACACTGTGCTGTCCATCATTATTGTCTTGTACAGAGACAGATGTGATGTGGCACTTCAACAGTAAGCTGTGGATACCCTGAGTGATCATAATCCAGTTCTTCTAATGCACTCTGGTGCTTCTGTCACTGTGACATATAATTATGAAATTTCAGCATCGATGTGATGACAACTACGTGCGCACATGTTTGGATGTGTGTACCTTTCTCTCCATTTAATCCAAATGCTTCTAGCAAAATCAGTAATTTGATAAAGTGGAATTGAAGTGACAGCAGATGACAGAGGTGCCAAAGTAATAACACCACCTCCCTCTGAAGTGTCAGCCTTGTCGGCCTTTGTGGATCTCATGGATGCCTCACACTCCGAGGGAGAATTGGCAATGTTTTCCAGAAAAATTTTAGTTCTTTTGATTAAGGAAGGAGTTTTAAAAGACCTGTAAAGAAAATGCTTTATTTTTTCCTTTTCTTGTTCTTTTCTTTTCACCTTGCCCCATTCCCTTCCTTTACCTACTCTCCAGGCTTCTACCGTCTGTTCAGATTTGGATGTCAGATTTGCATGATTGCTGAGTGCTTGATAGTTTTTTTTGTATGTTTGTTCTGTTTTTAGAAAACCCAAAGCTCTAAGTTTCCTTTCTAAACTCTACCCTCTCCATCCACCGTTCCCTGCCCTATCACCTCCCTTATTTCTACTTCATAAGAACATTTAAGTTGAAAGGAACCTTCTTTTCTTGATGCTTGGATCAGTTATAATGATGGATAAGAATCCATGAATTTGAGGAGATGGAGAGTTCTCATTTTAATGAAGAGGGGCTGAATCTTTAGCCTTGCTCTGCTCCCAGTTCCATCTACATCTGATGACTGAAGCAAAGGTTTTTTTTTTTTCCTTTTCACTCTTCTCTGTCTCTCTTGGCTCTCAAAATCTATTTTTCATCATTCAGTCACTGATCTAATTGTCATTTGGCAGACTGTGCTCTATTGTTTGGGGAAAATTCATGGCATGTGTTGGGGTGTGGGTTTGGTTTGAATTTTGTTTTCCCTGTCTAGCTGGTTAATTAATCTGAGAGTGGGGGCCCCCTGCAGTTGGGTATTTTCTTGGCTAGTTCTTGAAATAGGCAGCCATTCATCATCTGTCATAAGGGGTATACTGTGTGCTTACAGAGCTTTTCACCCTAAATGGAAAGACAAAACACAGATTGTTTCCTTGCACAGGTGAAGGAGCACCAAAAAACTAATGCAAATTTAGCAAAGGTGACAGGAAGCAACTCATCATTTTGAAGTGTCTGGATTGCTTCTAAAAGCAGGACCCATTTGACATTTACAGTGCTCAGGTTTCCAGTGGGGAACCGAGGCATTCAAATTCATTTTTATTTGTAGTGTAAAATCCATCTGAATTTTAATACTATTATGAAGACTGAGATCCAGGTGATGAGAGCAA